TCCCAAAGTGCTGGGATTACAGGCTGAGCCACCGAGCCCGGCCTGTTTATTTTTTTGTAGAGGTGAGGTCTCACTGTGTTGTCCAGGCTGGTGTCGAACTCCTGGGCTCAAGCAGTCGTCGTCCCAAAGAGCTGGGATTACAGATGTGAGCCACCGTGTCTGGCCAAGAAAATATTTTAAATGCCTCCTCTGGGCCAGGCACTGCTCTAGTTTCTGGGGAGACAGCAGTGAACACATTAAATTAAAAACAGAACAGGGCAACCCCGTAGGGTCCCCTTCCACTGTGGGAGGTTTTCTGTTCTCTTTGCGAGTTGGAGTCCCACTCTATCACTCAGACTGGAGGGCAGTGGCATGTTTCCAGTCACCACAGCCTCGAACCGCTGGGCTCCGGCAATGCATCTGCCCCAGCCTTCCAAGTGGTGGGAACTGCAGGCGTGTGCTACCACGCCTGGCTCATTTTTGATATATTGTGGAGACGAGGTCTCGCCAAGTTGCCCCAGGTCTCGAACCCGCGGCCTCAGGCAATCCACTCGCCTCGGCCTCTCAGAGTGCTGGGATTACAGACTGAGCCACCAAGCCCGGCCTAAATCCTTCTTTCTTTCTTTTTTTTTTTAAAAGAACAGTTTCCCATTTGGGGCTTAGACGGCAGCCTTTCTCCCCCCTCCCGTTCTCCTTCCTGGGATTGTCTCCATTCATGTTTGTGTCCCTCGGATCTGGCAAGTAGGAGGTGAACTGTGTATTTGGGCGTGCGCCACCGAGCCCAGTTTGTGTTTTAATCTTTCTATCGAGAGAGCTGCAATATGTGATCTGTCATTTACCTCCCGGCTGTAGCATTCAGTGAATCTGGACACTATTGAACAACGTGGCCCGGGACTTTTTGCTTTGAGGACTTAGCCTCCCTGATAACTCCGGTTTACTTGGGAGTCCTGCCCGGCGACCGGGCTTAAAACACGGTCCGCCCAAATCCACCCTTGCCTCGGCTCCCGTTGCGTCCTGGCAGGTCGTGCGTGGCGTCCGGCTACCCCCTGGCGGGTCTTTCCTTTGCTCGGTGAGCCCGCTGAGCCTTTCTCCTGCCTGGTTGCTCACGCCCCCTCTCCTGCCACTAGAACTCATCTTCCCCCACCGCGGCTCAAGGCTCCCAGGCCTCCCCTGAGATTCAAGCGGAGTGGGTCTCCATTGTCTTCAGAGAAAGGCCGGCCTCATTAGCTTGGCCTTCCGGATCGTCTGTCAATCTTAGCTCTTAGCTCACGTTCCTCCCCTTCACGTAACCTGCAGAAGAGTTCGGCTGAACCTAAACCTAATATCCTCCTGCACCTGGCTGGGCCCTGCCGGGCTCTCTATTGTCCCAGGTCACGTGCAGCCACCTTCACAACTGCTCGGCTTCCCCCGGCCAGAAGTAACCCTTTTCTTCTCAACTCCCATGGCACCTTCCTGCTCCTACCAGTACTAATTACTTTGTTTTTCTTTTCCGAACCGTCTTCTGTCTCCTAACTGAACCAAGCTCCCCAGTGCCTAGGAAGTACTGTATTGTCTTACACAGGGTGGGTAACCCGGTAAATGTTCACTAAATGAATTCTAGTTACCGTCCTTGTTATCTCTGCTTGGTAGTTTTTCCTAGTTTATCTGAATATCCACTCACTAAAATGTGGGAAAGAATTCTGCCCCCAGGAATTAATAAGTTAATATAGGAATAAAAACAATGGCCACCCATGTGTTCACAGTTTCCAGGTTTGTTTGTTTGTTTGTTTGTTTTTTGAGTTGGAGTCTCACTCTGTCGCCCAGACTGGAGTGCAATGGCCGCTCCCGGCCACCGCAGCCTCGACCCGCTGGGCTCCGGCGATCCTTCCGCCTCAGCCTCCCGAGGAGCCGGAACTACAGGCGCGCGCTACCACGCCCGGCTGATTTTTTTGATTTATTGTAGAGATGAGGTCTCCCTGCCCAGGCGGGTCTCGAACCCGCGGGCTCAGGCAATCCACTCACCTCTGCCTCCCAAAGGCGCGGGATTACAGGCTGAGCCACCGAGCCCGGCTCAGGTTTGTATTTAAGGCAAAAAGGATGTTTCCAACCTTGGGGCTTGTCTGTGACTGAATTTTGAGTTTCTTCTTCCTGGCTTTCAAGGCATTGTAAGATGCTTTCCTTTTCAGCTCAGCCACCTGTACCTGTTTGTTGTTTTTGACCATTATTCTTTTTTTTTTTTTGAGTTGTAGTCTCCGTCTTTTCACCCAGGCTGGAGTACAGTGTCATGCTCATAACCACCGCAGCCTCGACCTGCTGCACTTAGGTGGTCCTTCCGCCTCAGCCTTCCAAGTAGCTGGAACTACACACGCACACCAGCATGTCCAGCTAGTTTTTGTGATTTATTGTAGAGACAGGTCTCACCAAATTGCCCAGGCTGGTCTCGAACCTTCGGGCTCAGGCAGTCCTCTTGCCTTAGGCTCCCAAGGTGCTGAGATTACAGACTGAGCCCCTGCGCCCAGCCTGTCTGTTATTCTTAGCAGTGTTTTGTCCTGTAAAGTTTTCAGAGTGAGCATTTCCAGACTTAAAAATTTTCAGAAAGAAAATAGTGAAATAACCCATGGAGCAGTTGAACGTCAATTGACGTATGAACTTGATTATTTCTGTACCAGAAGCAGACAGTTTTCTTTACCATGTAGTTTGTGTTAAGATCTGAAGTCGTGCTTGTATGTACACCTCATGCCTTCAGAACCATTGCTAAGCTTCTCAGAAGTTTGATTTGTCTTTGGATTACAGATCTGGCGTTGAACTAGTCAACCTGCAGCACAGCAGACTCTTGGGAAATGGTTTGCATGCAGAAGTCAGACAGCATCCTGATGGAATGTCCCATATTTTTGTACTAAAAGACTTGATGACATAGAAAAGATTCTGTCATCTCAGAACAGATCTGCTTAAGGCTGGGTGTCGTGGCTCATGCCTGTAATCGCAGCACTTTTGGAAGCCCAGGCAGGAGGATTGCTTGAGCCCAGGAGTTCGAGACCAGCCTGGACAACATAGCAAGTTCTCATCTCTACCCAAAGGTAGATAGATAGATAGATAGACAAGATTAGGTAAGATAGATAGCCATGTGTGGTGGTGCACAAGTGTAGTCTCAGCCACTCGGGAGGCTGAGGTGGAAGAATCACCTGAGCCTAGGAGTTGGAGGCGGCAGTGAGCTATGATCATACTATTGCTCTCTGGCATAGGCAACAGAGTAAGACCCCCAGCTCAAAAAATTATAATAAAAGAAAAAGAAAACATCCGCTTATTTTGGAGATGCTGAGAAGCCAAATAGGATTTAAATTCCTCGCTGCCACATTTTGTCCAGGGACCAACCCCTCTCCAAACGAATGTTTGTGAGAAAACTGTTCCGAGACAAGCTCAAATTTTTTTTTTTGAGTTGGAGTCTCACTCTGTCACCCAGACTGGAGTGCAGTGGCTGGGAGCGGCTACTGCAACCTCGACCCACTGGGTTCCGGCAATCCTTCCGCCTCAGCCTTCTGAGTCGCTGGAATTACAGGCACGCGCTACCATGCCCAGCTGATTTTTTGATTTATTGTAGAGAAGAGGTCTCGCCAAGTTGCCCAGGCGGGTCTCGAACCTGTGGACTCAGGCAATCCACTCACCTCAGCCTCCCAAAGCGCAGGATGACAGGCTGAGCCACCGAGCCTGGCTTCATTTTTTTTTTTTTTTTTTGAGTTAGAGTCTCACTCTTTCACCCAGGCTGGAGTGCAGTGGCCGCTCCTGGCCACCGCAACCTCGACCTGCTGGGCTCCGGTGATCCTTCCACCTCAGCTTTCCAAGTAGCCGGAACTACAGGCATGCGCTACCACGTCCGGCTGATTTTTTGATGTTTTTGTTGTAGAGATGAGGTCTTGCCAGGTTGCCCGGGTGGGTCTCGAACCCGTGGGCTCAGGCAATCCTGTCGCCTCTGTCTCCCAAGGTGCGGGATTACAGGCTGAGCCACCGAGCCCAGCTGATAAGCTCAATTTTTAGCAGTGTCTACCTGAACCTGAAGGAAGGCAAATGCATCTCACCTGGGAGTAGACCATTAACATAGGCATGACCTCATTTCTCTTCAGGTGATGTAAGATTCATCTTGTTCTAGCAATCTCCTGTTCTCAGTCATGTAGTTGAGAGTGTTGCCAAAATAAAAATTTGATGTTGCTTATGACTAATTCTGTTTCGTTCAAAATACATTGGCTGTTCCAGATGATTTGTGTATTGAGGCTGTCAAAAAACTGAAGAAAACTTTGTAATTAATTACACAATTGCGCCTTTTTTCTCTATTGTCATTAAAATAGAAATCAGATTGGGCATAACTGATGGGTGCTGTCTCGCGGTTGCGGTCGCACAGCAGACCTTGCACTTTGGGACACTGAGGTGAGAGGATCACTTGAGCCCAGGAGTTCGAGACCAGTCTGGGCAACATAGTAATACCTCATTTCTCCAAAATATCAAAAATTAGCCGGGTGTGTGCCTGTAGTCCTAACTACACGGGAGGCTGAGGCGGAAGGATTGTCTGAGCCCAGGAGGTTGAGGATGTGGTGAGCTGTAATCATGCCTTTGAACTCCAGCCTGAGAAAGAATGAGACCCCTATCTCAAAAAAAAAAAAAAAAAAGAATGAAAGAAAGCAATACAGCATATTTATATTTAATTACATATAATCGGAGAGTTAAGCTCTTTGATTATGCAACTAACTGCCCTTGATTTCTAGAAAGAAAATGTGCATGTTTCTTCTCGTGGGCCGGTAAAGGAATGGGGGCTTGAAAAGGTGAAACAGAAGAACTGAAAAGAAGAAACTTAAAAAAGCTGAAGCCAGTTGCTCTTCTGGCGGTCGCCATGGAAGGGAGGGCAGAGTTGACCTGTGGCCCACCCTGCTGCCTCCCGGACCACTCATGGCTTGGGGCTTGCAGCGGGCGAGAGGAGCAGGTGGTCTTTAAGACATCTTTGCCCATGTTTGGTTTCTCAGTTTCCCCTTCTCTCTCTTCCTTGCCCTCAGGAGTTAGAGGCAGCTCTTCACAGAGATGATGTGGAGTTCATCAGTGACCTGATCGCCTGCCTGCTCCAAGGCTGCTATCAACGGCGGGACATCACGTGAGTAATCCTGGCCTTCCTAAGACTTTCTCGAAAGGGGAACCAAGTATCCAGTCACAGTGGTGTTTCCTGCCACCTGTAACAAACCGGAAGTGATCAGTAGCCACCACTCACAGAGCAGGCTGAGCTCAAATAGCTGGAGTCCCAGGCTCTGTGTCGGGCTCATTCTGCAGCTGAGGTTTTTTTATTCCATTGCAATCCTCACGTTTATTTTTCCCTCACACATCTGTGTCACTCATGGGTACACTTGCTGACGTAGTTGAGTGTAGGATTGCTTCCTCTCGAATCTGCCTTTTTCTGATTTTTGTTTGCGGTATTAGTAAAATCCTGCCTAGCAAATCGAAACTAGATTTTCCGACATTCCTGCCACTTGAGTATCTTCTTTTGTTCACCTAACTGGTAGCAGTGACATAATTAACTTGGAGCCTGTACCCTGTACCGAACTGCGAAGTAAGCGGCTTTCTCCAGCCCTTTTGAGAGGTGTAGACACCTGGAGCAAAATTGTGCCTATGTAGACTGATCAAGGAGCTTCTCGACCTGACCTCTTCCTAGACTTGACTCTCCCTTGATGTACATTTTCTTTGCTACAAGTCTATACAGAACAGAACTACAGGGCAAACTCACAAAAAGGTGAGAGACGGTGCGTTTACTAGTCTCTTCCCCTCTGGTGCCATGCAGGGGCTTGGCCTGTCCGGCCTGAGATATTTCTATTCTAATGGATTCAGGTGGTTAGGGCTGGGAAACTATTCTTGATCTTAATGTGCAGTAACCTTACATCCAGGGTTAGAAAGAGATGGAGAAAATGCCCTTCTCCTCAGTGTGGAAATCTGTATTCCTCGGGGAGAGTTACTGCTCCTGGCCTCAGTGCAATGATTTTCTTCTCTGGAATACCCACGTTGTATTGACAAATACAATTATAAAAATTTCCTGTATTTTCTTCTGTTCTCTATTTAGGGTGTATGTAGCCTTGGGAGCTTGTGTGTTTTTTACGCTCTGTTGTCTTCATATTGTGTGTATAGTTTCATATTTTCGTATCTGGGTTTTTTTCATTACAGCAATCATTTTTCTTATAGCCACTTTTTCTCTAAAAATGATTGTTAAGTAATGCAGTCTGGTAATTGACTGTTATTACTAGCGTTTAATGTTACAAACACATTATAATGCATAGCGTTATTCATATTCACTGATATGCAAACTGTCATTTCCTTAGTATAAATTTCTAGAAGTGGTGTGACTCAATCAAAAGAAATACCTGGCCAGGTGCAGTGGCTCACGCCTATAATCTCAGCACTTTGGGAGGCAGAGGCAGGAGGACTGCTTGAGCCCAGAAGTTTGAGACCAGTCTGGATGACATAGCGAAATCTCATCTCTACCAAAAAAAAAAAAAAAAAAAAAAACCCCAAAATTAGCTAGGTGTGGTGGTGTGGACCTGAAGCCCCAGCTGTTCGGGATGTGGAAGGATCACCTGAGCCAGGGAGGTTGAGACTGCCATGAACCACTGGTGTTGTGATTGTGCCACTGCACTCCAGCCTGTGCAATTAGATTCCCACTGAAAAAAAGAAAAAAAGGAAAGAAATGCTCACTTAAGACTTCAAAAGAAATTTATTTAACACATTGCCAGGCTTCCCACCACCGCGGTGGTTTCGTTTCCCCCTTGAACCCTCAGCACATGAGGGTGTCTGTCTGTATCCTTGTTTGCTCCCTACAGTGGACGGGGGCTGCTGGGGCCAGCGGCATCTCTCTCGCCCAGCTCCCTCAGAGCTCACAGTTGGATACTGGAGTCGCGGAAGGGAGAGCCACTGACAATTACAGTAATGATTATGTAATTGCAGATTATACACTTACAGCGATTAGTGCTTAGATGTAAAAACATAACGTGTCAGCAGAGCCAGCAACCCCGGGTGAGAGAGTGACTTATGATCGGGGCCCTCCATCTGACCGATTCCCTCTCCTAGGATACTCCTCTGTGATGGGGCTTGGCCCTCCGATGGGTCCTGCTGTTTAAAATTGGCCTTAGACTATTCTGCTTGATTTTCTAGATCATGATTATAACATTTTTGACATGTTCTTTAAGAAACATTCTCATTCTGATTAAAATCAAGTAAACCTATGAGGAAATTCAGGCAACATTGACATCCATAAGTATTGAGATTTATCCCAGCCCTTAATATCACTCAGTAAATAGGCACAGCTTTCTTAATGTAGATCAGACATAGTCCTGGCTCTCTTATTTAATTTTTGTTGCTATTAACAGAGGATTTTCTTTTTCTTTTCCCTCCCCTCCCCTCCCCTCCCCTTCCCTCCCCTCCCCTTTCTTCCCCCTGTCTTGCTCTGTCACCCAGGCTGGAGTGCGGTGGTGCATCATAGCTTGAACCCATGGTCTCAAGTCATCCTCTGCCTAAGCCTCCCAGGTAGCTGGGACCAGAGGTGTAGTCCCACTAGGCATAGTTACACCTGGCTTATTTTTTTAATTTTTTGTAGAAATTTGGTTGTGTTCACTTTCCGAGGCTGGTTTTAAACTCCTGGCCTCAAGCAGTTCTTCTTGCCTTGGCTTCCCAAAGCGTTAGGATTACAAGCTTGAGACTCTGCACCCAGCCAAGAGTAGGATTTACATCTATTACATACCAGAAAAAAAATTTTTTAACTCTAAAAAAAAGAGTAGAGTCACAACGTTCACAAGTGCTTTTAAAATAATAAAATGCTTTCTATCAATCTTGAATTTACACAGTTTACTGGCCTTGATTTTTATTTATTTTTATTTTTTATTTTTTTGAGTTGGAGTCTCACTCTGTCGCCCAGACTGGAGTACAGTGGCTGCTCCCAGCCACCGCAGCCTCGACCTGCTGGGCTTCGGCGATCTTTCCGCTTCAGTCTTCCGAGTAGCCGG